CTCCAACGGAAATAAGATTCTTTTTCAACTGAGGAACAAATCTCACTTCATTCAGCGCTCGAACAACTTTATCGTGCATCTGAATCCTGACGGTACCTATCCCACAAATACCACAGGATTGATCATTTCTCATTACTACCACGTCCACATTGAGCTTCTCGAAAGATGCAAACCAATCTCGCCGGAGAGTCACATGATAAGTAGCATCAGAATCCAGCATCCAATCCGATGCATCCACATGGTTCACCTCTGGAGTAATCAATAGAGAAAAGCAGGAATCACTGAATCATCACTGCTAGCGATATTCACCTCATTGGTCTTCGGGCCCTTCTTCTTGCTATTCTCCTTCTTTCTAAGATTGGCAATCTCTCTTCCAATATTCTTGTTCTTTGCGGAAAGCACACTGGTTCTTTGCTACTTGGTAGTGGCCTCTAGACTTTGACATGCCTCTATTGTCACCTCTCGGATAGGGACTCTTTCCTCTTTTCGACAAGGCCTCTCTTGAAGTGCTAGCTCTGGAAGTCTCTTTGTCCTTCCTTCTCAGATCGTAATTCGTCAACGCATTAGTCACTTCACTATATGTGATGGAAGATCTCTCATTCAACAAAGTGAGCACGAATGTATCATACTCCTCATCGGGTAAGGAGCTTAACAAAATAATCACCTTGTACTCATCCGTTATCTTCTCATTAACGTTCGCCAAGTCAGACAACAACTTTGTATAGTTGTTCACATGATCCGCAAGTGAGGTACTCCTGGACATCTGGAATCTGAATAATCTTCGCAGCAAGTGCAAACGGTTCTCAACACTCATTGTAAGATATTTGTTATTGAGAATCTCTCACATCTTCATCGCAGATGTCACGCCAATCACATCATATTTCAACTCTTGTTCCAAACAAGACCTAATTACCCCCACAAGCGTTTCGATTCATCTTGTCTCATATTGCCTCATCATATTTCAGTGGCCTCTCATGGACCATGATGATCTCTTCTAAAATTTGAGCATTCAAAGCGTCTTGTACGTCGCTCATCCACAAACCAAAGTTGATTTTGTCATCGTACTTCACAACAATAATCTTTGTATTCTGAAGTGCAACCTGAACTGCACTCGTCATCGCCTTGCTGCTTTCACCAACTTCTTCTCCCATTGAAAACTAACTCTAACTGTAAAGAAAGATTCGAACTTGATAGAATTGAGAAATTATCCAACTAAATCTTATATAGGGTTCCAACACAATCTCCTAACCACACGAGGAAAAATGAGATCTCCAATGACAACTCCGCAAAGCCATCTCCACCGAAGCCTAGATCTCCAAGACCCAAGCTTCCAATGGCAAATCTTCCTCCACCCAATGTAAAACCCTAGATCTAAAAACATGAGCTCTGATACCACTTGTTGCGGGCCATGCAGAAGCGTGCTCGCAAACCAACCGAGTCGGTGAGCGATGAGAGAAGAACCAAACACGAGTACAATTCACAAAATTAACAATCAAAATCACACAAACACAGAAATTTACATGGTTCGGCAAATTGCTTACGTTCACTGGGAGAGGACGGGGAGATTTTACTATATGGAGGAGAAACAAAGGGTTACAATCTCTCAAATAACTCTCAAAATAACTCAACTAATGATCTCACACTCCCTTACAATAATCTCCCTCACAAAACTGCTCACAACAATGCTAATTCTCTAGTTAAGAAACCCTAGAAACGTGTGTTTCTATTTATATCAAAAACATAATCCAAAGTAGACCAGGAAATAAATCCGGACCGTATCCGCTTTCCGGTCGACCGCAGGGGTTGCACCGGTCGACCGGCCAGCGACAGATTCCAAGTTCATGTGCACATTTTCGATCGATCGCTCGAACTCGTTTGGTTGATCGACCAGAGACAGGGTTTCAGACCCTGTAATCCAACATGTTATCGGTCGATTGGGCCCACCCGATAGAAGTCTGTAATCTCTTCACAACTTCAAATTTCCTGTTTTCGCCCCGTCTTCTACACAAGCAAATATTGTACCTTATCAAGCTGTAATGCATTTTTTTTTTTCAAGTGTTGCGCTTTCAACAGTTCCACTACTTCTGACAAACTGAGCTTAGCATTCTATCCTGGAAATAAATGCAGCTAAAATTTATTCATTATGGATGTACAAAGCTTTTACATTGATACTTGTGACAACTTACTGATTGGAATTTTCTAAAACTCTACGGTGGCTATATTTATATTCAAGGAAAAGTAGTATCTTGTACCTGGTTAATTTAAATTTGTTTCTGAAACTTGCAACTGATAGATGCTAAGAATAAATATTTAAATGCAAAAAGGGCAAAAAAAACCTCCCAGAAGCTATTTTTAATTAAGTTACATCTTCTTCATAAATATTAGGATTAGGGAAATTGAGAGCTTACCACTTTTCTCCGAATGATAAATGACAAGAATATAAAATTAAACTAAAGAAAATACCCAAAAAAAAGGACATTAGCTATTTCAAGCTGCACCTTCTTTATCTTTATTATAATTAACCCCTTTTCTCCTAGTTTTTTTCCGACCTTCATATCTAGAGCTTTTATAGTTTAATGAATGTTCACTTTTTTAAGAGTCTTTTTCTGTATAATTCCCGAACTTTAAAAAAAAAAAATTGGTTTTCGGGTATCTGAATAATAGAAAAATTAGTGGAATGGATTTTTCTGATTAAGAAAAAGAATCATTTGGATTTTGGGTAAAGGTTAAAGTGACTTAAATTAAATCGTGAAATCTTTAAAAATTGTTTAATTTCCTAAAATTTTACTTACAGGCATGCATGCCTATGGAATATAATACTTAAAGCACAGGAAGGAAAAAAAGGGGGAAATGCTACTTTCCGCTTTGTCATTAGTCAGCTATCCACATGCAATATGCACTTTCACGGAAAGGAAAAACAAATTTGAAAGCATGTATAAGTAAGGAAGACAATAAATAAATAAGTAAATAATACAGAAATACCTCTCTGTAAAGAAAATTATATACAGATGTGAACATGTGATGCTAAAAAATAAAAAAAATAAAAATAAAAGAGGACAGAGAGAGAGAAAGAAGAAGTTACTTATGAATTACAGGCCATGCATAATGCGAAGTAAATCTATGCTCTAGAAGAGAAACACAACATTTGTTCTAAAAAAAAGCATCTACGGCTGATGAAAGAGAAGTATTTATCAACCAGTCATAATTAAATTTTAATTGCAAAAGATCCAGAAATTCAATCTAGAAGATGTTGGTTTTAGATTAGGTGGTACACATGGATGCATGACTTAAAAAAGATAGTGATCGTATATTTTATGCAATAAAAGGGTCACGATTCCAAAAAAAAAAAAAAATTATTTTTGAAGAGTGAGAAAGAAAAGAGTTCGGGCTTTCCCTGAGCACTACTCTTTGCTTGCTTTCATAAACTATTTTAGGACCAAAATGTTTGCCACAATGGGCTTCTCTAGGGGCCCACATAAATCTTTGTCTTCATCCTTTTTTTCTCCCCTCTCCCTTTTGCACACTCGCTTATGTTTTAAAATTTGATCATCATTGCTTTATTGTGATTTTTTTGGAATTAAATTATATGAGATTTCAGAGCTTAACTACATCAATGTCCATTCTCTGTCTCCTTAGAGCCATACTAATCGATAGTGTAATCTTTTTTCCTCAAATCCTGGACAATGTTCTCTTAACACCTACATCACTACCCTTCTCTTTACAATGAGAAGAGTAGATGGGGTTCAGTGGGGGTGACCAAACAATTATCATAATGTAATTTTTATGCATATGTAATTTTTATGCATATTGAAAGATTCATTTGGCAACGTAATCAATTTGTCTCGATATATCACCTACCACCATTATCGATAATATATATTTCACGTCGAGCAGTACTCACATTGCTTGTCTGATATCATGTACACAGATACTACGTATAGAGGAGTGCTAACGGCAGTCTGTAAAATTTAAAAAAAGAAAAAACAATTTGAATGATTTAGGTGAGAAGGTGCCACCTAAAACTTTGAAAAAAAAAAATATATATGCGCACGCATGCTCATCTTACTCGTGTAAAGATCAGTGCTGCTACTTTCCCCTGATTTCAGGTGGAGATAAGGGTTGTAGGATCTCACTTTGTTCATACTTTATAAAGTTTTTTCCATACTTTCACTGAGGTTGAACTCATGTCAAAAACCAAACCATATCTTGCGAGCGTTACATCCACAAATCAACTTGACATATATCCAGTTCTTTTCCCTGATACGCATCCTCTCAAAACAAGGAATCACGCAGTTCAGCCTCCTTTTCGTTCGCAGTTTTTAAGCGTAAGACTTCTAACAACTTACCGAGTACAGAAATGCAGCAAATATGTATATACGCGTACAAATTAGACATCAGCACTTCATCATATATAACATAATCAATACAAACAATGGACGGAAGGAATATCACGCCATTACCCTTCGTGAGGACCGTAAAACAAATGATCTAGAGTAGAACACACTTTAACCTCCACACTGAACATAATCTCCTTTTTCGACTGCCTTCGCTGTATTACCACAAACCATGATTTTGTAACACAAATGCTCAAATATAAATCATAGCCAGTGTGATATGGCGATAAAATCTAATATTAGGACACTCCAAAATGATGTTTTGGAGGAATCACATAACTTAATCAAATCACTTCCTATGCATCCTAAGATGTGCCGTGAAAGGAAATACGTATTGCAGTAGAGAATAACTATAAAGCTTCCCTATCTATGTTCATTGTCATAAACATGAACTAATCCCACAAGTCCTAAATGGGAGTCTGACAATGGGAAAATATTTTATTTTATTCCTTTATAGGAGGACTACAACTGAACAGGAAGCTTACGATTTCTCCAAAGAACATAATGCCACGAGAATAAGAGAACTTTTTGACACTGCAAAGATACAGTTCCTTCCACAAAAGTTCTCTGCTGGAGTACTCTCAATGAGAATAATATTTAGTGCTATGTGAACATTAAAGCTCAATTAAAATTTCTATCGACTGGAGTACTCTCTTCTGATTACAAGAATGCACAAACGCTCTCTCAAACAATTTTCATTCTCACAAAACATCATGTTACCTATTAGCTCTTATTTCTATTTCATGAATAAGAGACTAATACTTCACAACTGTAAGGATTGGCAAACAAGCTGAAACAGACGAATTTATATTCTGTACTCTGTTACAAAAGTATATCCCATAATCTTAGGAACTAAAATATATCCGCATCCAGTCGAAAAGAAAATCGTAGAATTAGCATCACCTCCCAAAGCATTTTGATACTGAAGACATAAGCGTGGAAGCGAGAAACTTCATTCCAGTAGATCCTCCAGGGAAGTATGATATAGCATAATAAGAAAGTGCCATAACCTAGGGAAAGGGAGGGGGAAAAAAGCATGAAGACCTTTCCTGAGATAATTAAGGATGAATATCTATCCTGTTAATTTAGCGAAAAAAGTAAAAAAGTTCTTTGAAGAATACTTCTGCCATCAGATAGCATATACGACTTGTATGATATCATGAAAGCTAAAGGCTTCATTACATTTAGGACAGTTAACATATAACAGTAGATTGCGACTTCGGGTGCAGCATGACTTATCTTTGAGAATTGATGTAAACTATGCTTTTCCCAAGCTAACAAACCAGAAATCAATGCTACTAATACCAAATGCAGGAACAAAAAGATCAACTGAAATCAATGTTCAGTAATATAAGCTCATTACCTGAATAACAGAGAAGGCGACAGATAGTATGTAACTGTGAAGCACAATGGACACATATATGGTACCCACCATGCTACCAATAAAACCCAGTGTGAATGGAAGTCTCTGCAAGAAAGAAAGGAAAACAGTGTTTAATCATCATAACCCATGAAAATTATTAGGAGTACAACAATAGCAAAAACAATGCTTTTATCCCATTTTTAGGGTTCGCTATCAAAGGAAGCCGTGCAACCGATTAATGACCATATACCATGGATTACCATTTTCCTTGCCAGCACATTGTAAACTAAATGTTGAAAACTAGGAACACTGCCAACTTTAGAGTAGAGAAGTTCCCAGACAAAGAGTTTTAACTCAACTCTCCCATACCTTCTATATGTTTAATTTCCGGGAAGTCCTTAAAGAGTTCAATTGGTATATCAAAGATTCAGTCTGTAAAGATAGTCCCACAAAAAAAAGCCAGCCATGCCTACATTGCCCGTAATGGTTATTACAAAATTAAAGCCATCCCCCAGCTCCAAAAAAGTAGCTCCCTAGGGATGCATTACTTAGTAGTATGCTTTTGCAGTGATCAAAGATTTTTTTCCCTAAACAAACATGTCATAAGTGGATTCTCTTGACTTCAAGAACATAGGAAAAAATATACTTTCAAGGACACTGATGCCTTCGAATATCTAATTGCAAACAGAAATCTATGAGGACAGTTGAGGCTCCTCAGTTGAAAAGGAAAAAAAAACAGCAAAACGGTTGAGGATACTGATGCCTTCAAATTCCTGTCTTTCTTTCTTTCTCCTTGTTATTATTATTATTTGCTAACTTATTTTGTATCCTAGAGATGGAGGTCATTCCTATGAAATCATTTTTTTTATCTCCTAGCCAGACTCGCTTTAGATCTATCAAATTTTGGAGGGTTAACCAAGTTGCGTGAGCTTAGACTACAAGATTGGAAAGATAGGCCCAAGTGGTACCATTGGACCTTATGGAAGAGTCCTTGACCTCATAGTTGTCTATATTATGAATTTGGAGCAAAAACTGAAACGAAGGTGATGTCTTTCTATCCTAATTTTGAGTCTTTGCTACTCTCTAGATTATTACTTAAATACGTGATATAAAGTTGAGAAAAAGGCACTTTTGGTTTCTTATATTTGGGGTTGGATTAGTTTCGGTAGTTTTGAAAGGCTATACACACACATATTATATGTCTGATATGTGTATAATTATATGTCTAATGTATATATGTATGCAAAATGGATTCATTGTATACATATATTTATGTACCTCTGTATGTGCATACCTATATTATAGAGATGTCTTTTATAAATTTATGAGCCCTAATATGGTAGCTACAAAGTGATATTAGCCACCACCGAGTTTATATACAATGTTCCAGATTTTGTCACATCTAAACCAAAATAATATGAAAGAAACAGAATGGTTCGGTGAATACCTTAGTCTTTGGTTAATAGATGATGCTATAAGAAGCTTTAAAACTTGTATTCTGTTGTTTAATACAAGGAACCCAATGCCAATGATTAAAAGCAAGGCCAATCAGACCTAACCTTAGAGAACAACCAAAATATGGCCTCGTACTGTATGGGCTAGCTTTTATCTATCCATGCCGTGCACGAGTTCTAACATCTTCTGCTACTGCATATTAGATTTAACATTTTTTTGTCAACAGAAATCATATTATGTTTCATGTTTAGGTTTTAGGTATTCAGTTTATTTAGCATAACAATTTGCCATTCATTTATCTTATGGAAAAAAAACCTTAAGGAGTCTTGATATATAAGTATATGTTTGTTTTACTTGCAGATGAGATCTTGAGCAATGACACAGTAACTAATATATTCAATACCAATGGTAACATACCTCTTTTGATGCCATATGTGCCAGTTGATTTTTCGGGCCTCTTAGAGCAAAGAAAGATCCAATGATGAAGGCACAACCAGTGGTGAAACAGATAGCAAACTTCTGAGGCATCAACACGATAACTGGGAGGAACATGGTAAATGCAATAAAAATAAAGAACACGCCACTTGCAAGGAGCAGCCCAAAGTACATGAGAGACTTTCCAGAGGGAACACTGCTAGTAGCATTTTGGAAACTCCCACTTACACCTCTGGAAACCCTGTTATACATTAAATTAGCATGAACAAAAATGGATAATGATATTGCATGCATATCAGTTTCATATTGCTTTTACTATCTAAAAATCAAAAAACAATAAATAAACACTTCAACGGACAGATGCATTCAGCCTTTTCCTCAGCGTATATGTGTTCATGACCATAGCATCCACATGTGTGTCAGGTTGGAGGCCGAACTACTTCTAACTTAATATATAGTACAGTAAAAGTTTTGCAAATGCAAAAACATATCCCTTATAAAAAATGCTGCCTATTGTGCACATGAATATTTTTCGCAGCTCGGTAAGTGAAGTCTACAAATGCTGGGTGCCTGGTTTGGAGACTGAAACTAATTCTAACTTAATATAGTGTCATCATAAAGTTTTTGCATACATAACATAGCCATTATCCAAAAATAGTGGATTGTTGTACAGAAACTTCTTTTCTCATTCATCTTGGTTAATGAACTTTATAAATGCCAAGCTAAAATGGTTGATTTTGTTGTCACACGTCAGCAATAGTCATAATGTTCCAAAGCCAGTTTCTCAAGAGATCAAATCCATATTAGATTAGATTTTGGTCTGCATAGAGAAAAGATATTGTTATCAGGATAGTATAAAAATTATTCATATGGGGAATATTTGCAGAAATCCCCATAGTACTGACATTATCTAATAACCGCAGTTTACCCTTTATCAGATTGGTGTTAGTAGTCATGGGCTTGAAGGGTTGTGTATCTATATGTATGCACATGAACTCTGGTAACGGTGGTGCCAATTTGGATGTAGTAGACTAAATTTGGGTTAATTTCACAAAACCCCCTTGAGTTTTTTTGTGTTGTTGGTTGGTGGGGGGGGGGG